TATAATACCAGCTCCAGCAACCCAAACGCTCCAAACTGATATAACAGCTTAATCTTATAATAAAATAAACAGAGGTATCAATTGACTGAATCATCACTCACTAGTCCTTGGAGAGACTTTTTCACTTTCCCTGTCAAACACGGCAGCACCTTCCCTTCTCACACCCTTCAGCAAGTACTGGCGTTCCTCCAGGAGATCCCGAGGTCCAGCCTGCTTCTCCTGGTGACCGGTCACAGGCCCCGAGTTCACAGGGGCAGCCCTAATTTGTACTAGCACAGAGAAATGAAACGGAGCTCCCTCAAAGACCACATCTGGGTCTGGTTGCTGTTCAAGCGAGGTGGATGGCACCAGGCAGCCGAGCCCTCACTCCAGCTCCCACTTTTTGGCAGGCCCACGGTCAGGGCAGTAGCGTGTCAGGTGCTAGCTGCGGTGCTTTCCCTAAGCGACTCCTAAATTAATGAAGGACCCTCATGTTAGATAAATATAGACACGGCGCAATGCCTCGTCTCTTCCAGGCAGACAGTTCAAGTTGAGCTTTTTTAAATCCTCTAACAATCTTGAAACCTTAAGGCAAGAAAAGCCTTAATTTCTCACAGTGCAAAGTACAATTAAAGGGGACTTCGCACCATGAGGTCCTTCGTCAGACTTTGGATGGATATGAACAAGTAGCTTGACTTAGCTAGTTTCTCCCCTTCTGCCTCCAGCTCGAAGCTCTCTGCTGCCTGTCGCCTCAAATATTAATAACCTTATCCAAGAAAATGAAATGAAGTGCTGCCTTTTGTTTTCATTGTTTTTCTGAATTCACATACTGAGTATCTGCATCCGGGTTTTGGTGTCCGTTAAGTAGCCTGAGGAATATTTCCTTGTGTTACTTTGCGGGCTGGATTTTTCCAAAACAGAGATGAAACACACTTCCTCTACGAGGATGAGGCAGAGTTTTGGTGTTTCCTATCATGAGGCAGAGGCCCAGGCTGGGCGCGCAGGATCCCGCACCAACTGGCAGAGGCAGCCCGCTCTGGGTCGCACTGGGCACACGCCCAAAAATCATCTTGAGCAGGCAAAACGCAGGCCATGCACGGGTGATTTACCCTTCAAAACAGAGCAGAGACGCATACACTGTCACCCAGTAAAAGCAACAGTATTGCACACCTTGCAGGCACTGGGACCGTTTGGTTCTGTATCCTCCCAGTACGTTCAGACAGTTTCCAGTCTGCCAGTGCTTTTTTTCTTTCTGTATTAGTGCTATCTGAAATTCAGCATTTTAGTTCTCAGAGAATGACGCGGATTCCTTCCTGCGCTCTGTTTTTTAACTCTAATCTTGCTTGAAGTTTTCAAATTGATTCTGGGTCCTGCTTCAACTGGAATAAAAGCACCCCAAATTCACTGGGTAATACAGTGTCTCCATAAAGACATGAACAGTCTTAAATTAGTTGAAAACTGTCCTAAGATGTCTAAGACACTTGTAACTTCAACCTGAATTTTGACTTATGAGTAACATGGAGGACGCCACCTTTTACACGTGTTTGACCTTCTCTCAGATTTTCTGTTTGATTTTGTCACTGAGTGGCTCCAAAAGTTGAATTTAATCACGAGATCCACTAATCTTCTGTTCAAAGGTATGTTAAAGCCAGTTAAGCTGGCTTTAAGAAAGCCACAGAAGAAAGCTAGAAAATCAGCTAAGCAGGTCAACAATTTTAGAGTATTAAAGCTAATTTAACAGTAAATTTTGACTAGTTGAGTCCACTGCTTTGGAAGTTGTATACGATAAAACTGGGGCTAAGGTCCCCGCAGGCACTGTCAATGTAGGGCAGGGCAGGTGTGCAGTTGGGTCCCAGCTATGTATTCATCACTTTAGAAATTGAAAAAAACCAGTGCTTAGATGGCAGATTTATTGGTGAAAGGTAAATCAGCCCCCTCCTGCATATATGCACACCTGGCTTGGCAATGAACTCACCCAAACAGATTGAATAGCACTAAGCAGGTGGCTAAATGTTTGCAAATCTGGGCACTAAGGTTGTCCCTGCGCCAACATCTTCCAATATTTTTAAGCCATGACTAAACCTGAAAAAAGAGAAATAGTTTTAAATTGTTTTAAAGATTCTCCTGCCCCCCCCAAAACACCAAAAGCACAAACTCAAAGACCCAATATAGATCTTTCTCCCCCAGAAGTGACATTTTTCAATCCTCTAATAATTTCAGATATTTTTAAAATAGTTTAATTTATTCCTCATGATCCTTTCCTTTACAAAACACACTGAGAAAAATGAGGTAAAGGAGGATAAGGGAAAAAAACCAACAACTTACTTTGTATGTTTGGCAACAAGCTATTCCAAACACAACCATTTCTTTCATTTAAAAACGTAAATTGTAATTGTAATTGTTTAGGAAGTACTACTCCTGACATTTCACAATGAATACAAATAAAAAATAAAACCTACAAACATTTACAAAAATACGCTTACAACAAAGCTATATAGGCCTTTAAAATGTCAAGTATTTTTGGTAAACTCCTTGTAGGGCTGGTTTTTTTTTTTAATTCTCAGACGGAAAAAAAAATCATAAGCTTAAACGTGCATCAGCACTGCAAATATTTGATTACTCCTTATGGTGTATTCATTAGAAATTTGTTTAACTTTGCTTTAGGCATTTCAAACAATAGTTTCCACCGCTTCCTTGACAGACCAAAATATTCCACAGTCTACTACAACAGCCCCAAAGACTTCCTGATCTTCAGCCAAAATTCCCTTTTCTTTACCTCATCTCACTGCTCCTGATTATGCATGTCTCCCACATGTATAAAGTTCTCCCACAGTAAGAATTAGACTCTTTCAAAATACGCGCCATGAGAAACGTTACGCTTCACACATCTCCAGCCTGCCCTATATATAGCTGTCTACTGCCTTCCTCATGACTGTACCTTAAAATCTTCTATTCTTGTGCTTTTAAATGCCTTCCAGCTATCGACTACTCTTCCCTAAGGAAGGGAGGGGCTAGAGGTAGCCGGCTAGAGGTAGCCGAGATACCCAAGCCATGTGTGAGCGGTGTAGTAAGTCCAAGGCACTGGAACTTCTATTGATGTTTATGAAAAAAGCTCTGCTGACACCCCGAAAGAAGGGAAGCAGACCCCGCGTGGGTTTTGTGTGTTAAAGGTCATAATCTCTCCAAATGCAGATTGAATTGGTACTATTCTCTTGCCTCTCAAAAAATTGGAAAATAAGAATCAAGTGGAGTTTCCTCCCCCCTTTTATTCCCAAACCATTAAGTCACATCTCATTTAAACCTCAGATAACACATGCTCTTTTAAAAATGCCATTCCTTGCTCTTAAATGACCACACACAATCAGAAGCACGGACAAATGGAAAAAAAAAAAAAAAGCTACAATCTCATCCTCTCTTCTTACATTAACTTTGTAGACACATAATCCAAACTCATCCTGCATAAGTAAATAATGAAGGATAATAATATATAGTATTATTATATAAACACAATAAAGCATAATAAGTAATAAATGTGGGCACAAAATCTGAAAATAGAGTAGCAAAGTTTTGCCACTTACCTAAACCATGCTGGAAAAATTTGGAATTGTCAAAACTTCTCTCTTTAGAAAAAGAAAGTTACACCTGTAGTCTGCAAGATGTGTTTGCCAAGCAACAGACAAACATATTTTCTGGTAATTAACGCGTCTAGAAAACTAATCACATCTTAATGTAACTCATTTTGCCTGCAGCTTCCCTCTTTTGTACACTGCAAAGGAACACGCTTGCTTGACTTAAGTAATTGTAGTGGTGTCTTTGTTTTGAAGCAGTTGTCGTTATCTCCACTGGTAACTCTCCATCTCTGCTCCTGCTTCTCTGCTGGGCCATCACCTGTGAAAAATCTCCATTTACTAATAATCTCTTCTAACCCTGCTGCAGAGGAACAGATAATTTTCACAATAAATTAAGCAGCATCCAGTGTGCTTATTTGCTGAAATTTTTTTCTTTTTTTTTTGTCTTTGCTACTCTGAGGACAGAAAGTGGATGTTTTAACTTTTGAGGAGAAAGTGGCAAAAAGGCAGTTTTCTCTTTCCAGCGTGATTTAAGCACAAGCTTTCCCAGTTTCTGAACAAAGAGCCTCTACCTCTAAAGTGAAAGCTGATGATATATCTGCCCTCAAGCATATGTTTTCAAAGGAAAAATGACTAAATAGGGGGTTGTTTCTATTGCAAGGTTTTGTAGTAGCACTTTTACTCATTAAAATGTTCCCTTTCTTCCCTAGTCCTAGAAACAACTAAAGCCTTCCTGCTGTATGATTCCTAAGTAGAACCAAAGGAAAAAAAAAAATAATCAAAAATCACATGAAAACCTAACCAAGTCATTTCAAGTTTTCTTTTGGCTTCTGTACAAGAAACTGAGAATTTGATGACGATTTTCTCAAAACTGGTTTCCATAGCAAATTTTCCTTCTAAAGTAACTGGGGTCAATTGTCCATGCGACTAGGGTAATGGTTAATGAGAAAAATCACAACGGTTTGGCAATTCTCACGATTTGGTCTTGGATAAAGGTCCCCACAAGCAACAGAGGCTGAGCAGGGCAGGCTTGAACCAAATGGCTGTGCGAGACAGCAGCTATCTTCTGTTACAGTACATGATTTTAGATTTGCACTCTGAAAAACACTTTGTAAAATGGCCTGAGTTTGGGGTCACAAGAAAAGTAAACGAAAGCTGAAATTTCTTCATATGTCATAAAAAAAATCAAGCCATCTTTCTGGAGATACACAAGGAGGAACTGCAGGTTTAACTGGCATTGTCCACATCTGAATATTGTGGATGACAAATGCAGAAAAAAAAAAGGTGCAACTAATGCAATGATTGCCAAGTACAACACATCACGGCTTAGTTTAATATGTCCTTTGCATTGTACAAGCACATGTTTCAAAACCAAGCATATGTTGTGCTTTTGTAAAAAGGAGTTGAGTTACTCATAGGTAAATCAACACGATGTCTTCCCTTTTCAGGGATCCAGCATGCCGCAGTACAAGCTGACATACTTCAATCTGCGAGGACGAGCAGAAATCAGCCGCTACCTGTTTGCCTATTCGGGCAAGAAGTATGAAGATCACAGGATAGAAACAGCAGACTGGCCCAAAATCAAACCGAGTAAGTAGCACAGGATCTCATAACCAAAGCTTTGCTAGAAATTATGTCGAAAAGCACAACAATTGAAGACGTGCCTGTATGTTTCATGAGCAGAAATACATTTAATTCCTGGCTTTAATTAAGCCTACAGGAATTTTATTGTCTAGACAGCCAAAATGTCATTCCTGAATGCTCTCACAGAAGTCCAGATCCAAATCTTCAGACAATCTAAAATGACTTACCTGCACCGTTGCTCCCTTATCAATTCAGTTCAGCTTTTGTCTGCCCAAAGCTGACCAAATGCGTGCTAATCTTCCCAGCTTCTTTGGAGAATTTGGTCTCAAAGGCCACACCGCAGCCTCCAACCCGGTTTTAGAAAGGCAAGTTGGAAATAAGCATCGAGAAAGTCACTTCTTTGCAACCAGAAAGTTCTTCAGAGACAGAAAGCGATAAGAGAAAAGAAATCAGTTGATTCAGTAAGGAGAAAACAAAAGGATCGAACTAGAAAAATCATTGTTCCTAAGAACAGTGCAGCTCTACCAGCCCTTCCAAAAATACTTTGTGGACTACAATACTCCATTTCATTGTTTTTCATTGAAGTGACCTCTTTCAAGCTACTAAAGCTATTGGTTATTTCTGTTCATTAAATTAACCTTCATTCAAATGAAACAGACCTTGAGTATGGAGTACGGGTATGAAATCAGAGATGTCTGTATCTTCATTTCATGGGTTTGGCCTGCATTTTGCTACACAGGCTATGACTCTTTTCACATCCAGAATGAAGAATAATGCCTTTAATTTGGGGAAAAACGCACAATTAATGCACAAGGCGATTTCCATTAATTAAGCAATGTTTCTTGGTAGGATTTCACATCATTTAATAAACCCAGTCAGCAGGCAACCAAATTCTTGCAAGGTGCAAATTGGGTCTTTCCCATAATGTTTGTCATGACTTGAATGACAAATACTCAAGCATCGCTGCGCTCCAAGTGGCAGCTGAAGCCACCTGTGGTGCTCAAATCTAGAAAACACTGGCTAACAACCCACAGAGAGCAGTGGAAACAGGGTATTTTCAGTTAGGGATGACTGACTTCAGAAACCTTTTGTTTGAAGAGCTTAAGCCTGTTGACCATGTGGTATAGCTTATTTCTCTCTCGCTGCAATTCTCAGGGAAGCAGGGTAGAAACTAAAGGTGAGATTGAGAACTCAAGATGATCTGAGGAAAGCTCTGCATAGGCCTTTTTCATACTTAACTATGCACATATTCACACGTACACACACCCACTTATGTCCTGAAACAAAGTTCAGAGAACATTAGCAAAGTATAGTTCTATGTAGAGTTTTGCACACTGATTTTGAAGTAAGGCAAATTAAAAAGATGAAGTCTAAGTAGTGACTTAAAGGCTACAGGGGTTTTTGTATCCTAGGACAAGATGTTCTAACAGCAGACCTATCAGGCAAGGTGAAGGCATTGCACCTCTCTTTGAATATCGATGATGTCCCCAGTGTCCGAGCCAGCACAAGAAACAATGCAGGAAAATCCTTCCTCTGCTATTCTTCAGTGCTCACATCATGAACTGCCCAATGAAGCTTTATATGTACGGTACTTGTTCATTACAGTGCATGCTCAGCTGCAACACCAGTACCACCAAAACACCGGGAGCAGAGACACCCTAAAAATCCTAAGCCATACAGTTTGTTGCTGTATCTGCTGCATTAACAAATGTTGGACAAGTCATTTAACCTTTGGATGTCTTTGTTTCTCTTTCTGTGATGTGAAAGGTTTGTTCGCAGGTTTACCAAGGGTTAATTAAGATTTTTCATTTTCTCTGCATAATGGCTTTTCATAGCAGCCTCTACTATGACTGATCCCAAGAAGAAATTCCAAAGCAGATAAGAAGTTTAGTAAAATGTGGGAGCTGCTGCTCTCAGATTTGTGAAATCATCTGTGCAAAATTTATGCTGACCTAAGAGTTCTTTGAATTTCAGGCTTCTGTAGACACCCAGTCAGTCAGTCAGTGGATGGGAACTAGAATGTATTGTGCTAATTGACCAGGAAAACGTACACCTACAAAGAAATAGTTGGATATGTATCTGAAAATGCTATTATATCTCATACCAGGATGTTAAACTTCTGGAAGGCTCCCTGAATCCTACCTAGCTCAAGACCCTATGTAATGGTGCCATTTGCCACCAGTTGCATCTGCATTACAGACAACATGCAAGTAGTCTCAACTAAAACAGGAGTAAAGGTATCTTGTTTGTATGCATAACAATGTAATGCTGCTAAGGAAATTGCCTGGAGATCAACTAACTGATGACTACCTCCTCCTCCTTCGTGAAACAATTACTCATGGTATTTCCAGACAAAGTAATCTCCCACAGGCAAATCATTCAGCAAAACGCTGAATAAAAGTTAGCAACAGGGCTTTGCAGTAAACAGCCTTACACTGTACAACAAGAGCAAGAGCCAATCTACCCTAAAGTACCTAAATGCTGCTTTTGCAGGCCATGACTCAACACAAGAAATGGTTGTCTCCTAGCTAGGGAATAGATGGTATAGGGGTTGTGTGTCTTAACAGTACAACAATATTGCATACAGCAGAGATGCACCATTCGCCATAGGGAAAACAAACCACTTGCACTCTCTATTATGCTGAATTTTCACAGTGTGCCTGAGCTCCCTCCATGGAGGCAGGGATTTAAGTGGAAAAAGCACCTGTCATCAGGAAAGCAGGTAACAGGATCCTTGCCAAAAAAGTTCGATTACTGCTGTGTTCAACAGTAAATATGAAATGAGGGGATCCATCCAACCCATTGTGCGTACAAAGGCATAGTTCACTCTGCTGAGAGATCTTCTATACTCCTGTCATTCATATTCTGCATTCAGATCTTTCTTATGAAGCTCAGGAATTTGAATTTTTTTTTCCCCCCCGTTTTGTCTGGACTGGGTCTACCCCAAAAAGAAGAGAAATAAAATAGCAGATTCCAGTCAGTCTCATCCTGGTGAAAACCAAAGGGTGGTAAGTGTTTAGTAATGATAAGGGGAATTACAGTTGCATTTGATGTAACAGCAGCTAATGTAATAGCAATTTGGTACACCACTTATTTTGCAACCCTCAAAAATCATTAAAATTGGTCCAATTAATTACATAATTATATATTGAAGTGAGATTAAGAAATACCAGACAAATTTCTATGCACATTTGGATACACCATGTTAGCATTTACCCACTTGCCCATGAAAGACCAGAAACCAATTTTGAATGCAGAGTCTGCAAGTACAACATAATGTCCCTCTTTTTAAAAGCTTCAAGTATGATGAAGTAAGATAAAGCAAAAAAATACTTAGGGAAGAAGTTTGGACAAGGAGAGCACATCATGTTTCTTCAGGTCATAAGGGAACAAGTCAAAGAGTTTAAGTTTATTTAAGTGCACAAGAAGTCAGGTCTCTGCACAGAGGATGGGTTTGCTTCATCAATTTTCACAAACTTAAAGCACGGTTTTGCAATAAATACCAACCTCCCAAGCAAATCATCACACCACATCAACCAGAAAATACTGTCATTATTCTGAAGAGGAGATACATTTCTTAGTTCTCCTGTAAAACTGATGGGAAAATAGAAAATGTGTGCATTAAGATTAATGTGCAGAATGACCATTTAGAAAGCAGGCTTGCAGCTGCTGTAAGTTTAATTTTGACCTAGACTGAAGAGTGTAATGGGTTTTGTTGGTTGTTTTGGCCTTTTTTATGGGGCTCCTGCCAGCAAGCTGTTGTCTTAATGGTACGGGCACATAAGTCCTTGCTCCTAGAAATACACACTTGATTTTGTTTACACCTAAGGGGTGCTTTTTTTATGGGAGGGGGGCATATTATAACATAAAAACATACATAATTTGGCTTATACACTCTAAAGTGAAAATTTCTGTATCTCAACATGTTTTTTTTCCCCATCTATAACCAATCAGATCATCTTTGATAGTTTTTCCAGTTGCTGATTTCGGGCAAGTATTGTAGTTTTAATACAAACAGTTTAAGCAAGCTAGTATGTAGGTATTAGTGTTGACTAGCTTTAGTGCAGAATTTTAAAAAACAGCCGAATATCAGGTAGTAGCTTTACACGACCCTTCGCTCTTTATATAATCAGTCGTTGTTTAAATATGTAAACAGACTCACATTTTATAGTTCTTTTTGAACACATTTTTGCTCATCCGTGCCACCATTTAAACTGCAGTCAATTCAAGATCGATGCACTAGCACGTAATAGACTCACACAAGGATCTGTATTACCACATAATAGGCTCCTCACAAAAAGAATCATTGCACTGACATAAGTCACGATATAGCAGAAAATCCACTGTAATGGCCCATAAAAGTTATCACCCCCTTGAGCTCTCAGGCTCGCACGCAGTAACACTTTGTTCTGTGGCTCATTCAGGGAATTGGAAGCAATGGGAGTCACACCGGCTTTAGAGTGGGTTTAAGAGGGGTGGAACGGTGCTTGAAAGGTCCTCGGGAAACTCGACAGACTAATTATTGCACTGAAAATACTTTCAACGTAATAGATAAATCTTGAGAGCTACCTGACAGCAGACAACACTCCCTCAAGGGAGCACTCGGCCTGTTTCCTGAGTGACTTGCCGCTACGTAGCTCTACTTAAGACGTGTAAACAGCAGTCTTTGGGGGAAAAGTAAGGTTTAGCAATCACTTCCAAGGAGGATCTGAGCTGTCATAGCTACAGCACTCAAGCTGGGCTGAGGTTAGATCAGAGCACCGCCTTGGCCATCCCTCAGTGGAGGATACCGATTCTGGATGCCTCCAGCTCCAGGCCAGCCAATTCCCAGGGGCCTTGCTCCTCTACCAGCCTTACAAAAAATAAATCTTTCATATACTTCTTATTGGAAGATGCAAAGTGTCTCATATATTTGTTTCTCGTGATCCAATTTAAATATTAATCGAAAAGAAAAGCAACACAAAAGAGAACTTATTTTGATAGAGATATTGTAGTAAGAAACATGG